GATTATGTTCTGATGAAGGAGGGAGGGGAGTGAGCCCATACAACATTTGGGGTGGGAAGGGCTCTGCCAAGATCAACACAAGAAGGGTGGGAGCACAGAGGAAGAGATGCATTAAAAGGTGGTCCCTTCGAAGATCATGTCTATTGTGTTCACTGCTGTACCCTAGCAGTGAACCCAGCCCAGGGACTGGCACAGTTTAATCCTCAACGAATGTTTGATGACTGACTGAATGAGGAAGAGACCAAGTGCCTAGGATAGGAGTAATGTAGATCAAGTAAGGCTTTTCAGATGAGTTGACATTTGGGTGGGATTTGGAGGATAAGTTAGGAGTTTACCAGGTAGAAAAGACAGCTAAAGGCATTCTAGACATATGCAAAGGAATGACAGGCTGCAGTAGTAGTCTCTCAACTTTTTTAAAAATCACAACCCACAAAGTATACACATACACATCCAATACACACACACACACACACACACACACACACAGTTGGAACCTTATGCATAATGTCCTCTGTTATTTTCTGATCTATTTCTTTTCATAAATGCTAGTGGCAACCCACCAATTTGTTGTGATATGGGCACAAGTGTTTGGGGAAAGTGGAGGCTGTAAAGGTAATTTTGAGCTAGACCATAAAGATCTCTGGATGCTAGGCTGATAAGATGGAACCCTTTTTAGTTCTGCCTCTCCTTCCTTCCCTGTGAAGCCAGACACTACAAATTCCTTTTCCTTCTCTCACTCTCTGATGAACTCCCTGCCTCTCAGGCTTGTCTTTGTTACCTTTTGTCACTCCATTTCCCCAGCTGGTTCTTTAAATCATGCTGAATTCCTGGGCCTCTGCACTGGGCCTTCCCCACTCATCCTTCTTAGTCTCCCAGGGCGTCCTCTCCTTGCCTTGATTTGAATGTCTGCCCACTTCTAGCTGGGGATATCCAACCTAGAAGTAACAGCCCAAAGCCTCTCCCCAAGCACCAGTCACCCTTCAGTGACCTACAGACACTTCAGACTCAGTATGTCCAAAACCAAGTTTCAGTCCCTGAGACCTCCTGCTCTCTGGGTCACCATTCTGTATTTTTCTCACCAGCCACACTCTCACAGGACAGGACACTGTCCTGGAGGCCTTCCCCATCTTGTCTATCCTGCCTTCAAACTCGCTCTCAAATCCACCCCCTTCTCTCCCCGCCGTCTGCCACCGTTTTGTCCAGGGTAAGCCTTCTCTCCCACAGGTAATATTGAGACCTCCTGACTTGCCCTCCTCTCTTGCCTCTTCCTTTGGCTCCCACGACAGCCACCATGAACCTTGTGGAACATAAACCTGATCATGTAACACCCCTGCCCCTCTTAATATGCCCTGTGTCCCTAAACTCCCTATGGGGCCTCTTCCCTGCATATCTCCTTCCACCCTTATTCCCTCTAACACCCCAATATCCAGGCACCTTGAACCTCTGTGGCCCTGTTTCCTCTGGTTTCAAAAACTCTACTTGCTTAATACCAGTTCCTTCTTTTAGGATCCCACTTTAGGAACACTTCCTCCAGGAAGCCTTCCCTGATCCCCTGAGACTGGATGAGGAGCTCCTCTGTGTTCCAACAGCCCTCTGCGCACCACCCATCTTGGTGCCTAACACCTTGTTTCCTGCTGGAGTGTCCCAAGTCTTTTGCCCTCCTCCATTAGATACGCAGCCGAATGGGGCTGGGGGGTAGATTAAGAGCAGATGCTGAAATCAGTATTCTCTAGGTTTGAAGCCCAGCTCGGCCATGGACTGGCTGTGGGAATTTTGTACTTTATTCAATCCCTCCCTGATTCACTTTCCTCATACTATCAAATAATGATGGCTGTGATAATGATATCAACAAGTGGAGCACCTGCCTCTTGGCATTTTCAGGTGATTCAGTGAGTTGATACGCTGAGGCTGTAAATGACAGTGCCTGGCATGTAATAGTGCTACCTATATGTTTGATCATGAAATCGGTCCTCAGATGGGTTGCTCCAGGAGGGGCAGAGACTGGGTTTATTTGATCTACTGATCTGTCTTGGCCATATTCTTCCCTCCTGTATTCCTCCTCTTCTTCCTCCTCCTCCCTCACCTTCCAATGCACCCAGCACCTGTACTGAGCTGTTGGTATGTGCCTAGCACCTGGCCTGACATTGGGTCACAAGTACATCCCAGCATTCACGACATGAGTGAAACTTTGGTCTAGGAATGATGGTGAATGCAGAAAATAAAGGTCATATTTGAGACATTCTTTGGAGGTAGACTGCTCAGGGCTTGTGCTGACTGCATCTGTGGGTGGAAGAGGAGGAAGAGGAGGAGGAAGAATGCCAGAAGGAAGAACATGGCCAGGACAGACCTTGTGATTTACTTTACCAAACCCTTAGCTTCTCCAACCATCTCCAGATCATTACAAGGCACCTCCATTCACCCAAATGCTCCAGCCAACATCGGGGTCACCTATCACTCCTCTTTCTCTTTCTGTACCCCTCCACCCTCTCCCCTGAATCCTTTTAAGTCCTGTCTGTGCAAGACACAGGCCCCGCCCCATATCCTGGGTCCTTTTCTCCTCTCTGCACCCCACTTCCACCCTTATTGTCCTAGTTACAACTGCTGTGTAATAAGCACCGCCTCCAAACTTAGTGGTGTAAAACAATCATATTCACAAGTTATAGGACTCAGGAAGTTGGGCAGGGTACACTGGGTGTACTACGCAGCCACCGTCCACCATGCCTTAGCTTGGCAGACACAAAGCCAGCATGACACGATGGTGGGGGTACCTTCACCCACATTTCTGGCACCTGAGCAAGGTGACTCCAGTGCTGAACTCACCTGGGACTATGGGCTGGAGCAAGCACAGGTGTCCTCTGCCTATGCCTGGGCTTCCTCACAGCCTGGTGGCCTCTAGGCCTCTACCATGGTGGCTCAGGGCCCCAGCACTGGTGCTCCAGCCAACAAAACAAAGACTGCATTGTCTTTTATCATGAAGACTTGTAATTTTGAGCATCACTTCTACTACATCTTATCGGTGGAAGCCGTCACAAGCCCACCCAGATTCACGCAGGGAGAGCACAGAGAACCCACTTCTTCACGGGAGGAGTGTCAAATAATTTTGTGGTCATGTTCTAAGAGCACCACCCTAACCCAAAGCCACCAATGTCTCACCTGGATCCCCACTGTCATCTCCTCTCTGGTCTGCTTGACGGTGCACTTTACTCACTTGTTCCCATTCCCGCAGTGTGTTCCCACAGGACAGCTACAGGGAGCTTTTGAACACACAAATCAGATCAGTCACCCTCTTCTTCATCCTTCCAATGTCCCCAACTGAACACACCACTGAAATCCAAGCTCCTTGACGCGCCCACACAGCCTTGTGGATCTGCGTAGCCCATCTCCCTTCAAGCTCAGGCCTTCTCTCTCTCTCTATCATAGCCCACCATCTCCTCTCTGGGGCTTATGCCCACCCCTGAGCTTTTGCACCTGCTGGTACCCTTCTTGCAGTGCTGGACCCCTGATGCTGTGTCCTTCAGGCCTCATCTCAAATGCCACCTCCTCAGATCTAAAATTAACCCTCCAACACCCAGTATTCCCTCTCCCATCACCCTGCTTAATGGTCTACTATCTGTAACTCCTGTTCTTGTTCACTTATGATCTGCCTCCTTCCTGGCCCCAAGAGGAAAGACTCTAGCCTTTCTTTTTCCTTATGTCCACGGTGCCCACCATCGTGGTTGGCACAGAATATGGAATGTGAATGAATGCCTGAATGGTGGCGGGTGTGTGTGTGTGTGTGTGTGTGTGTATGTGTAATTTAGAAAGGCAATCTTGAAGGATAGGCAAGCCTGGGTGCAGGAGATTACTACAGTTGGGCATACTTTGTTTCCCATATGGTTCTGCTACTCACTAGCTGTTGACTCTGGGCAAACACCTTCACCCTCTTGAGCCTCGGTGTCTTCAGCTGAAACCTGAGTTCAGATTTGCCAGACCCGGGCATAGGGACAGCAGGTCCAGCAGGAACACCAAGCCAGGATCACAGCCGCTCCCAGGGAGCTCAGTGCCTGGAGTCCGAGAGGAACACTCTCAGGAGGCGCAGGCACAGCCGCTCCTAGAGACTGGACATCCCCCAGGTGGCAGGCGGGACCGGTCCGTGCAAACAGGGAACAGGTACCCGGGGGAAGGACATTCGCTGGCAAAAACATAAACTGCCGCTCGGAGTCTTGGCACCACCCAATTTCCAGGGACACTTAGACTCCCCCTGCTCACTGAATGGGGTGTACACCAAAGTAGGGGGTCAGCCCCCTGGGATAGGCCAGGGCACTTAAAGCTTTCTGTTCCCGGGAGCGAGGCCAAGGTGCACCACCCGCCGCGTCCGCCTGGTGTCGCCGCGAGCGTGCTCTGAGCGGCCAGCTGCGCCCCTCACACTCCCGCGGCTCAGGCGCCCCACTGCTGTTCCGCGCGGGGCTCCTGGGCCTCAGCCCGACTCCGTCTGTCGGCTAACAGCAGGATCCCAGAGAGGGCTGCCCAAGTATCTTCTGCCACCCCCTTCGAATAGGTGGGGGTAGGGAAGAAATACGCTGAGCCAGTCCGCCCGTCGCTCCGCGAAAGGGGGCGCCCTCCCCTGAAGCTGGGGTTGGGGAACTGGGGTGTGCTCTGTCAGCCCCATTTCCCTGTTCCGGGCTTGAGCGAGCGGGGCAGCAGACCAAGGCACTAGGGCTCTCGGCCGAGTCTGGTCCACTCCACCCGAGGGCAGCCTCTCAACGCCCACTCGCCCTGCAACCTGCAAGTTAGTGACGGGTGAGGGACGAGTGGGCTCCTCCTGCCTCCAAACAGGCTGTGCTCGCTAGCCTCCCACCTGCACCCCAGAGCAGGGAGGGGGCCCCCGGGAGCGCGCATGGAAAGGCACGAGCGCGCGCCCGGTGCAGGCGGCCCTGTCCCGCGGGCGCAGGGGCGCGGGGCGGGCGCTCCGGGGAGGCGGGCGGGGGAGGGGGTGGGGGAGGGACGGGGGAAAGGAGGGAGGGGCGGGGGCGGGAGGCAGCAGCGCCCCCGCACTCCCCGCGTCTCGCACACTTGCACCGGTCGCTCGCGCGCAGCCCGGCGTCGCCCCACGCCGCGCTCGCTCCTCCCTCCCTCCTCCCGCTCCGTGGCTCCCGCGCTCCTGGCGAGGCTCAGGCGCCGAGCGCGCAGACGGGCGCACGGACAGACGGCCCCGGGGACGCCTCGGCCCGCGCCTCCCGGGCGGGCTATGTTGATTGCCCCGCCGGGGCCGGCCCGCGGGATCAACACAGCCCGGCCCGCGGCCCCGGCGGCCAACCGGGACTATGAACCGGAAAGCGCGGCGCTGCCTGGGCCACCTCTTTCTCAGCCTGGGCATGGTCTACCTCCGGATCGGGTAAGGGCTGCCTGCGCCCTTTCCGCGCGTGTCTTGGCAAAGTTGGCACGGCCCGGGGAGGGAGGTGTGCCGCCTGAGAGCCTCTGCCGGCCACCAACTTCCACAGCTTCTCTGAGAGGCCGGGTGGGTGCGGTGTGGGAGCGGTGGACGCACAAAGGCCCCCCGCAGGCGGACGCCCCAGGAGATATAGGCAGGGGGACTGGCCATCCTGAGGATTTCTGAGTCTGGAATCTCCCAGGACCAGAGACAGCCGGTAGGGACGCTCCAGCCTGAGGGACTCTGGGGGAGGGCTAGCTGCTGCAAAGGTTCAGCCCATCCCGGGGACCCTTCGGACCCCGGCATAGGGACAGCAGGTCTAGCAGGAACATCAAGCCAGGTCCACAGCCGCTCTCGGGGAGCTCAGTCCCCGGAGCCCGAGAGGAACTCTCTCAGGAGGCGCGGCACAGCCGCTCCTACAGACTGGGCAGTCCCCAGGTGGCTGGCGGGGCCGGTCCGTGCAAACAGGGAACAGGTACCCAGGGGGAAGGACTTTCGCTGGCAAAAACATAAACCGCCGCTTGGAACCTTGGCACCACTCGATTTCCAGGGACCCTTAGACTCCCAGAGCCCCTTCCCGGGCCAAGGGGACAGCACGTCCCGCCCCCAACAAACACACACAAAGGTGGGACAAGAGGCGGCCCGAGACACCGAGGGAGGCAAGCGCTAGAGAGAGGCGGGACACCCCGCCCCCTTGAACTGGGCAGCAGAGGCTGCCGGGCGCGCGAGCAGCCCTCTGGCTTCACCCAACATTTCTGTGGAGGTGGTGCTCGGGGGCGCTCTGGCTGGAAGGTGGGAGGGGGCAGCTCGGGACGCGTCCTGGAGCTGCTTGTGCAAAGCCGGTCACCCTTTGTACTTAAGACATAACGCGTGTGAAGCTCGGAGCAGTGCGCGGCGGGGGAGCGGGGGGAGTCTAGGCATGGATAGAGGTTCTGGCGCTGAAGGGCCCGCTTGGTAGGTCTCGAACACCCTGCCCCTCCACCCCCCATCAGTGAACCCCCTACCGCCCCTTTTGAGGAGCGGTGGACCGCAGGGGCTGCGGCTAGGGGGTGTGTATGAGGATCCTTTGTGTTTTGTCACTACTACCCCCCTACCCCGTCACTTCCCCAGTCCACGTCTCTGGAGCGGGGATTTCGCAAGTTGTCGGGCCGCTGCCGCGAGCAGGTGCGTGCAGAGCAGACCAGGGGCCGCCAGCCCGACCAGCGGCGGAGAGGCGGCTACGGGGCTCGCGCCAGTACCGCCAGCCTGCCGGTGTGTTTTAAGTGTTATTGATTCGCCCGCGTCTGGGTGGCTTTTCTTTTTTCCCCTGCTTTAATCTTCATCTTGGCCCGCGCCCCGCCGCCCCGCGCACATCCAGCATCCAGGAAGCCGGTCAGGCCGATTGGCTGGGACCGCGTGTGGCTTTATCTCCTTTTTAATTAGAAACGGGGAGGAGGGACCCGGGTGGCGGGGGAGAGAGAAAGGGAAAACAGCAGAAAATAACCTCTCCTGGCCGCCCCGCCCGCCCGCGGGCCGCCCTCCCGCCAGCGCCGCGGCCTACCCGGATTGGCCCTGCGGGGGCCCAGCTGCCCGGGAGGGAGGGAGGGAGTCCTGCAGGGCGCTGCCCTTCCGCCCCAAGCTGCCCTCTGGGGTGGGGAGAGGTCCAGGTCGGGGAGGTGGGAGTTGCAGGTGACTTCAGGCCAGGCGCTGCTGCTCCCTGTGCCTCGGACTACTCATCTATATAGTGGGCATGAGAGGTGAAGTCTCAACGTCCCTAGGTTTTTCCATTTCCCCACATGTGACTGGGCTCTACCCGCTTCTGGTTGATGGTGGGGCATCTGTGGTATTCTTATTTCACTCGGATAGTTCTATTACTCGCACTAGCCTATTGCCACAATCAGATCCAATAAGAATGGTGATAATTACAACACCGCCGCCACATTTATGGGCACTCACTATGTGCCTGGCACCTTTTAAGCACTTTCCATGTTCTAGCAAATGCGGTTTTCATAGCAGCCAATTAGATGGAGACTAGTTATCAATACCCTAATTTAGCCATGGAGAAACTGAAGTGCAGAAGGAAGGAAACTTGCCTAAGATCGCACAACTAATAAGTGAGGAAAGCTGAGATGGGAACCTAGGCCAGACCCTTAGGAGCTAGTCTATTGTACCTATGAGTTTTTGGCCCCAGTATGCCAATCCATCCACTCTCTGCTGGCGTAGAAATTTCCTGGTGGCCAGCTAGGTGCTCAGAGGGTCCTCCTGACAAATGATGCCAAAGCATCTCCACTTAATCTTCTCACGCTGCTGCTTCCTCAGACATTCCCAGCATTCTAGTGTGTGTTAGACTCTGGTTTAGGACTGAGATGCAGATGCAAAGCCAGGCTGTCCCACCTCCAACACCTGCTAGCTGAGACCCTTCCTCTGGGTCCCAACCTCTGTGAGCCTCAATTTTCAGATATTTGAAATTTATATGATGATTCTTGCCCCACAGGGCTGTGTGGAAAGGTCACATGAGCTGCTGTTTGTGGCAGCACCCACCATACTGCCTTGGCACATAGTAGGGACACTGCCCAAGTTTACTGATGCATTTGATGCATATTTGGGGGCACCTGCCATGTAATAGGTACTCACCCGGAGCCACATCTTTGAAGTGCCACAGTCCATTTATTTGGTAGACATTTAGTGAACCAGCAGACAGCCTCCCTGCCCGCAGGGAGCTCATCCTCTCAGGAAGAAGACAAGTGATCAAGTGAGCATGCAAATTAAAAACACATACATGAAAACATGTCAGTAGAACATGAGTAATCAAGAATATCCAGTAAACAAAACAGAGATTCTGATGGAAATTTATTAGGGGAAGGGAAGGGAGGGAGGCTCCCTTAGCTGGGCTGGTCAGGGAGGTGACCCTTGAGGTCATGTGAATAATGACAAGAAGCCAAGCTTGTGAAGATCAGGGGTGAGAGCACTTCCAGGGAGAGAGGCCAGCAAGGACAGAGTGCCTGCTGCAGGGAGAAGGCTGGCACGTGGCAGGAGCCTAGGGAAGTGGCAGGAGTGATCAGTTGTGCTCTTGGAGGGCATGGGTCCACGTCACCTCCTCGAGTTATTGGTACAGGAGAACCTCGCTCTAACAAATCGCAACTCCAGAACAACTGCCCATAGCTGAGCCCCAGGACGAGGCACTTGCCCAGTGGCTCTACCTGCAGCCCTACCACTGCCACCAGCCAAGCCACCACCAACCCTAACCTGCCCGGTCCCTCTGCTCCTGCTCTGGCACCCCGCAGGTCTTTCCTCCATGGAGCGGGGACCACCAGGTCATGTCAAGGTCCTGCTTACACCCTTCAGTGCTTCCTGGTGCTGCCTGATGCACCTGAGAAAATGCCAGCCCTCAGCCATCTCCTCTCCCCAGGATCTTCCTGCATCTCAAGCCCTGTTTTTGTAGCAGTTTCCATGGGTTCTTTCTATTCCTTGAAGACCTCGAGCTTGTCTCCTAGAACTTTGCATTTTCTGTTCCCTCTGCACAGAATACCCTTCTCCAGATTTTCCCACAGATGCCTCCTGGCAATTCAGATCTCTGTTCTGTTCTGATGTCACCCCCTCAAGGAAGTCCTCCTTGATCACCTCAACTAAAGTGGCCCTCATTTTCCTCACCACCTGCACACCCTGGTTGCCATCCCAGCATCTTCCTTTACTTTCTTCATAGTACATATCATTGTCAGAGATGGCCTGTTTTATTCATTTGTGACACCTGTGTTGTCACCCTCCCTAGTTCCTTGAGGGCAGGGCCTTGCCTGTCAGGTGCACAGCTGTCTCCTAGCATGGTACCTGGCACATGATGGGTATCTGATACATGTCAGTGAATAGTTGAAGAAGATAGGAATTGCCCTCATAATAGTCACACACATCCTCTAAGCCAGTCATGCCCGGAGTGGGATACGTGTACTCCATTGACAGCAGGAAGAAAATGCCAGGACTTCTACTTAAAACTACTTTTTAAGGTTTTTTTCAATAATAAAACATATACATACAGGAGAGTATATGTTACATATACATTAAAAAACAGATTTTTTTAAAGTGAATATCTGCACACCCATCACTCCTTCAGAGGCACCTGCTGCATGAGACTTTGAAGTCATCATTTCCTTGCTTGCCTTTACAATTTTACCAAAGAGATGATTCCCTAGCAACATAGGGTTTCTTTTGCATGCTTTTGAACTTCATCTCAATTGCATCCTACCATAAACTCAAAGGCAACTTGCCTTTTTCATTCAATGTAATATTTGTGACATACATCATCTTTTCTTGTTTCTAAAACAAAAATCAAGTGTGTGTGTTTCACTGATATTGAGTATACGCATTGATACAAGAGCCTATGTAGAAATTATAGGGTTTCTATTCGAATGGACATGAGTTAGGGGTGCAGGATCAAAAAAGTTGAGAGACCACTGCTGGGGGCAGTGGGGTGGCCAGTGCTGGACACCTAGGAAGGGTTCCTAGTCCATGCCCCCTTGCTGGCCTAATGCTCCATCTCTCTGTGTCTCTCCCTCCAGTGGCTTCTCCACAGTGGTAGCTCTGGGCGCAAGCATCATCTGTAACAAGATCCCAGGCCTAGCTCCTAGACAGCGGGCGATCTGCCAGAGCCGGCCCGACGCCATCATCGTCATAGGAGAAGGCTCGCAAATGGGCCTGGACGAGTGTCAGTTTCAGTTCCGCAATGGCCGCTGGAACTGCTCTGCACTGGGAGAGCGCACCGTCTTCGGGAAGGAGCTGAAAGTGGGTATGTGCTCACCAAACACCCCAACAGAGTCTTACAGGTTATAGGGACATCAGGCTATAGGGACACCAGAATACCCTCAGGTGCCCTGTGGAACTCCGTTGCCTGCCGCTACTAGAATGTCCCTCAGTGTGGGGTCCTGCATGTGCATTGACTTGCATTCAGGGCTCCCATTGAGGGTCAGGTCTCTGGTTGAATCCATACCCCCTCAATCGTTTATTGACAGAGGTGCAAACCAGCAACCAGTGACCCAAATGCTAACCTCTGATACAGTGCTGATGCTGTGTTTTGAATTGAAGCCCAGATTTTAAAACTTGTTTCACCTCAAATATATGGAATTTCTGGTTTCTTTTGAAAAGTTGGCAGATCTACTCATAATTTACATGTGTGCCCACATGGTTGCAAAGACCTGAAACTGAGAACACAGCTCCCTTTAGTTGTAGCAGTGAATGGGCAACCCATTCACTGCCACAGTCCCCACCACTCCCTACTGCTGCCCAGCCTGTGCAATCCTGTGACATGATCCGCTTGATCCCTGTGGGCTTTTGACTTTGAAACTGTTTTATGGGAATGGTGCGTGCAGACACATACATACACGTAGAGTTTTGAGCCACACATTTAACTTCTGAAGCAATTATAACAAAAGTCTGGTGGAAAAGGGTCAGAGAGAGCAATGCTGGTCTCCAGGAGGCCCTGGTCAGTGGTAGGAGGCCATGCTGTGTATCTTCTGGCTTGTGTGCATGTGCATTAGGGGACCAGAAATTGCCACAGGCTGGCTTCTGCACTGTGAACTTCCCTGAAAGCCAGGTCAGCCTCGGATATCTTTGGGCATCCCTGCCACCTCCTGCTTAGGTCACACTGCTGTCACGTCTGGGTTCCCAGGTTGTCCCATGCTCCCCCATCTCATTTCCCTGTTGCTCCTGGCCATCCTGCAGTCCCTTCTGCACCCAGCAGGCAGGATCATCCTTTTACATGGAAATCAGATCATGTCACTGTGCTGCTTAAACCCCTCTGGAGGCTTTCTTGCATCAGAATGAAATCCCCACTGCTCATCTAGCTGCTGCTGACCTCTGCTTCCATCTTCCCTCTTCACCTGCTCACTCAGCCTTGTTCTTTTTCCCAAACACACCATGCTGGACACCAGCTATTTCTTCTGCCTTAGCTCCTTTCCTCAGCCCCGTGCCCCTGACCCTGTCCAGGTCTTCTAGACCTTTGCAACCTTGTCAAAAGTCCCCTCTCACCTCAAAGTTCCATCCCGTCAGCCAAGCACTTCACACTGTCTGAAACCATTCTGAACTGGTTTGCAATGTCAGCTTCATGAGGGCAGGAGCTTCACTCCCACACTTGCCACTGAACACTTTCTTCCCATTGCCTTTTGGAAGGCCTTACCCATCCCTGCAGCAGGCCTGGTTTTGTCACCATATTCTGTGAGTGCCTTCTTATTTGCACCTTACAGAACTGCAGACAGGATCTCAGTATGGGGTCCTGCAGGTACATCGACTTGCATTCAGGACTCCCAGTGAGGGCCAGGTCTCTGGTTGAATCCATACCACCCCAATAGTTTATTGACAGAGGTGCAAACCAGCAACCAGTTTTTTGGGCCACTGGTGAAGTTGGCAGAGACCTTTCCGGAGGTAAGCCTTTTCCAGGATCTTTGTTGTGTAGACTTTTGCCTTGCACCATCTGCCCTGCTTCTCCCTCTTCCCAATTCCAGGGCTCACTTTTTAGGTGTAAACAGAGGCCCAGAGAGAGAATGGGACTGTCCCAGGTCACATAGTGAGTGGCATCAACACTGAGACTCCAGTTAAGGTTGCCTAATCTGTCTTGTGAGCCTCCCCTTGCTTGTCACTTGTGGTTTTTGGTTTTTGTGCTTTCTTCTACTCAGATATCACACACACACACACACACACACACACACACACACACACACACACCCCAGTCCTGGGACCCAGGCATGGGTTCCAGCATTGTTTTAAATTTGTGACTTCTGATATGTAAGATGTTATAGATGAGGAGACTGAGGCTCAAAAGGGACTTGCTCAAAGTCAACAAAAGTGAGTGGCAGGGCCTCTCAGGACTGGGTTCATTCCAGCATAACTTTCAGTCTCAGAACAGTCAGTATATCGGCTGGCATTGGAATAGTCCCCACAGAGGTCTGGGGCGCAGCAGGAGGGCTACAGTGCAGGGCAGTGCCTGGACAAGGATCCCCTCCTGTTGAGCAGCCCCCAGCTGGCCATGGTTGTAGAAGTGAGGCTGAGGAGGAATACTGCCAGTGCACACCAGGGAGGAGCAGAGGCCAGTGGCAAGAGGCATTCTAGTGGGCTTGGCAGGCAGAGGTGGCTGGTGGAATTCCAGCAAAGAGAGGTGCCCAAGAAAATCCTTGGGATAGCGATGCAGGGCAGTTGGTCCGGGGAGCCTGGAAGGAAGTAGGAGCTGGAGCCAGGAGGTATGTAGGGTCAATTTAACAAGTTTGAATTTCTGAGCGGGAGCCGTTGGAGGATTTTGAGTGTGGGAGTGACTGCCAGAGGATAGGTTAAACTTATGAAATTGCCACTGTGAAATGATTTTTGGCCCACAAAAGTGGCAACATAATATATGTTGATATGCATATATTATGCATTGACTTGCATTCAGGACTCCCAATGAGGGTCATGTCTCTGGTTGAATCCATACCCCCCAATAGGAATAGGAATCCATTCAACCTTATAGGAATTTTAGAAGATTCATGAAAGAGTGGGTATAAGGTCATTCATTCATTTTAATACTTGTTGATTTATTCATACATTCACCAAGTTATTGGGTGTCCATTGTGGCTGGAGGCTCCTGTTCCAGTGTGTGTGGCCAGGGAAGGGCGCTGGATTTGTGAGGGAGGTGAGCTATGGGCATGTCTGGGGGAAGAGCATGTCAGGCAAAGGGAACAGTAGGTGCAAAGGCCCTGAGGTGGAACGTTCTTGGGGGTGGCTTGAGGAACAGCGAGGGGCCTGGGGTGGCTGGAGTAGAGTGAGGAAGGCTGAAGGGGAAGGCTCAGGGAGCCAGGAGCTGGATGGTGTAGTATCCCTCAGGCCAGGGCAGGGGATCTGGATTTCCCTTCATGGGAATAGAGACCTTCTGAAGGGGAGACAATAAGGGAGGGACAACATCCGACTTCGGGTTTAGCATCATCACTCTGGCTGCTGGGAAAAGCATGAACTGCAGGGTAGGATGGCAGTGGGAGTCAGGAGTCTGGTTGAGTCTTCCAGGAAGGAGGTGATGGTGGCTCAGCCTCAGTGATAGCCATGGAGACCTGCTTTGAAAGCCACCAGCCAGGAAGGAGGGAGAGTGACAAACTAAGGGCCAGCTAGGAGGGAGGGAGGGTGACAACCTAAAGGCCTGCTAAGGAAGGAGGGAGTCACTCTGGTCTGGACTTCTAGGGTAGTCGCAGTGGGAAGAGGAAGATGAATCAAGATGAGAGCCCCGACAGTCTGAAACCGCCCTGAGCTTAGGTTTCCTCATATGTAGAAAGGTGTCCTGCTCCAGGACATCAGGAAGCAAGCATCACATTTAGGATCACTGGGCTCCTCCTCAGTGCTCTCACCCCCATGGGGTTGCCACTTTCTGGGAATGACCAGCTAACAAGGGCTGTCTTGCAGGGGTGAGGATCTGGCCTTTGGAGCTGTGGCCATCAAGTCCTGACTTTGAACACCAGGACCCATTGTCTGCCTTTAAAGAGAAACTTCTCAAAGCTCCACCCCATACTTCTGCTTACATATCATTGGCCAGAACTTAGTCACATGGCCACATCTAGCTGCAAGAGAAGCTGGGAAGTGTAATCTTGTATTCAGAGTGGACATGAGACCAGCTGGAGCTCTGTGACTGAAGAGGAAGAGTTATTTATCCCATGCTTGGCTCCCTTCTGAGTGTTCAGGTTTCCTGCATAGAGCTGAGGGGCAGCAATGGGCATGTACCAGGTAAAGTCCCGTTGCATGTTAGAAATTGAACCCCAATTCAAGCCACCTCTGGTAAAAAGGGGACTTACGTATGCTTAAGGAACTGGAGAGCCAGGGCATAGTGCTGACTTTCGAAATGGACAGGAGCAGAGGTAGCATTGGCATCCATCAACCCCAGGACCAGCAGGATGGCCTTTGCACCTGCAGTGACACAACTTCCAGGTTCAAGTACCCCCAGAAAGAGCCTTGGCCTTTCTCTAGCAGCACTTGCAGAAGTTCTAAGATTCACTCAGATTGGACCAACTAATGGGGCTTTACTTTTGGTTGTGTGCCCATCCCAAACTAATCACAGTGACCAAGGGCAACAGTGCTTTTTCTGGCCCAGCCAGGTAGCCCCACCCAGACCATCTCTCAGGGAAGAGGAACTGCTCACGAGTGTACTAGTCTACTAGGGCTGCCAGAACAAATCTCCGCAGACCAGGTAGCTTAAACAGCAGAAATGTACTGTCCAGTTTCAGAAGCCGGACGTCTGCCATCCAGGTGTCAGCAGGGCTGTTTTCTCAGAGGCCTCTCTATTGGGCTTGTCACCTTCTCCCTGGGTTCTCACACGGCCTTTCCCCTTGTATATGTGCCCCAGGAATCTCCTGTGTCCTGGTCTCCTTTTTTATAAGGACACGAGTCATATAGGACTAGGGCCCACACTAACAGTCTCATTTTAACTTAATTATAGTACTTCTTTAAATTTCCTGTCTCCAAATGCAGTCACACTCTGAGGTATTGACTCAGTCCACAGCAATGAGTGACCAGAGTGCAGCATGGTTCAGGCTTTAGGGAGAGGCATAGGGGGTATGGTGGGCTCTCAGAAGTGAGACCTTGGGATGGAGGGTGGGATCTGGACAGTGGAGATGGCCCTTCATCTGGGACTTGGAGGGTGGGGAGAAATTTACCAGTGAGTGGGATCCTAGGCAGAGGAAACAACAGAGCAAAGACATGGTCATGTGAGAGCTATGGAGGGAGTGAACAGGGGCCTGCAGCCTCAGGAGACAATGGCTCAGGGAGTCCCCTGTGAGATGGCAG